GACCAGCAGCTGAGCTGGGAAAAAAATCCAAACCTTTCCCTCTGCCCCCGCCCTTGCTGTGCCATTTTATCACCCAGAGCTCCTGGAATGTTCTGTGGCACGGAGCAGATGGCCCCTGGCACCCAAACTGGGGCAAGCAGCCCCAAAAGCCAAGTGCTGCCCGCTGCTGACCAGCAGCATCCCAAGATTATTCCCTCCTCAACTGGGAAGGGCCATGGAGGGATGGGAGAACCTCCAGGACACCCCTGGGAGGCCACAGGGCAGGGCTAGGATCAGTTTTGCTCGTGGTTCTCCATCCTCACATTTTTTCCAAGGCCTGGGGGCACTGGGACCCTCCCCAGCAGCGTCCCCCCCTCTCCACATCCTCCCACCAACCTCATCTGAAGCTCTTTGCTGTCTGCTCATGTTCCAGAGCCTCTTCTCCTGGGACACCTCTGCTTCTGGGGGCCCTGCACCTCCACCTGCTGATCGAAACAAGCCCCAAAAATCCCCAGAGACTCCCCCAAACTGTGGGAGTTGAACTTCTCTCAGGAATGGCTGAGAGAGGATCCCATGCCAGCCCCAGATATTCCAAAGCCAAGGGACTCATTCCAGGCATGCTGGACACTGAATTTAGAGGGTGCCTCAGCCTCCTACACCTCCTGGGTGTTTTCCACACCCACTCACTCCTCAGGGCTCCTTCCCCCAACCACCAGGAAGCCCTCGAGTCCCCAAGGGTGAGGGGAGATTTCCCTTCCCCCTGAGCCCTCCCTTCACCTTCCAGGAGCTGCTGCTTCTCCCATTCAGCATCAGAGTCCACGGAGAGCATTTCCTGGGGGCTGGCAGCACCTTCCCCACGGGCACTGGGAGCTGCTGGGAACCCATCCCTGTGGGAACAGCACAGCCAGGGGGGTCTGGATGAGGCCACAGCACCAGGGTGTCCATCCTGCCCCTCCAGGGTGTCCATCCTGCCCCCCAGGGTGTCCATCCTGCCCCTCCAGGGTGTCCATCCTGCCCCTGCACAGCTGGGCACGGTGCCACCCCTGCCTGGAGAGGCCAAGGGTCAGAACTGGGCGTTCTGGAAGATTCCCCATGAGCACCCCAGGCACCTTTGGAGAGGTGGGGACAGCACAGGCCAAGGTGGGAGTGGAGCTGCCAGTTGTGGGTACAGGATGTCCCAACTGGGACAACTGGGAACACTGGGCTCAGGTTAAAGAAGTCAGGGGAAAACTGGATTTTATAATATTCAACCCAGCAGCCTCCTGCAAACCCCAACTGCTTGGGATCAGCTGCAGCCCAGCAGGCTCCTGTCTTTTTGTTAAAGGTTCAGGACTACTTCACTTCCAGAAAATTCACAGAGGTCTTATATAAATGAAATCAGAATAACCCCCCACATGTCCTGTGGCTGCTCACTTGTAAACCCCCGAAACACTGGGTTTTGGGCCTGGGGAGTGGAATCACTGCCTTTCCTGGCAAGCCTGGCAAGCAGGCTCCTCCCTGTCCCTCCAGAGCCAGGGGACATGGGGACCCTGCAGCCAGCTGGGCTTGTGGCCCCGTGCCACCCCCAGCCCAACTCTTACACCTGCAGAGCTTTGTCTCTGGAACATCCCGGTGTGGCTGTCCCCTGCTGGGCTGTGTGGCTGTCCCCCAGCACGTCCCTGTTCCCCAGCACCAGGCAGCCCCTGATGCTCAGCTCCTCCAGTTTCCCCAGTAGCGACTCCGTGCTGGCCCCGCTGGTGCCGTCCCAGTGCTGCCCTGGGCTGCTGCCGCCCTCAGCTGCCCCCAGCTCCTCCTCTCGGGGCTCCCGTGGCCCCCAGAGGCTCCCCAGGATCCCCCTGAGGAGCTGCAGGGGGGAAGGACAGCAGGCAGCCCAAGTGGCCAAGTGGCTTTTCCCTCGGGCACCCTCCCAGTGCTCCCAGTTTGGGGGCTCCCCTTGGCTGCTGCAGCTCTCAGCTGCCCCCAGCTCCTCCACTCCGGGCTTCTGGGTCCAAAATGGGAGCCTCAAGAGTCTCCTGAGGTGTTGGAGCAGGGAGGGCTGGCTGGGAGCCCGGGTGGCCACTGGGGTGGCCATGGGGGCCAGTGAGCGGCTCAAACGGGCACAACGGACACAAACTGCCCTGGGGCAGTGACAGGGCGGGGACACGACAGCACAGAGGGGACAGGACTGCGAGGGGGACACAGACACGGCTGGGAGTGGGGGAGAACAGAGGTGAAACCTCCCCAAAACCAACAGGGGCTCAATCCTTGCCAGGGCTGAGCCCCGAGATTCCTCCCAGCACGGGAGGTGGGAGCAGGGCAAGGCCCAGGAAAGCTCCTGAGCAGTAGAAGAGAGGAGAAAAACCTCAGATAAAACCTCCTCCATCCCAGCACTGGGTTCCTGTCCCGACTCTGTCACCCTGCCAGGGCAAACAGCATCCCTGCTCCTCCCTCGGCCCCTCGGGAACCTTCCCGTGCTGTTTCCCAGGGGTGCAGCCCGGGGCAGGGCAGGATTTCCCCACAGTGTCTCTGTGGCTGCAGTGACAAGGGACAAAGCTGCTCTGGGCTTCAGCTCTGCTCTGCCCCGGGACTTTCCCCAGGCCCAGCCTTGCCTCGGGAGCTGCTCGGGTGCAGAATGGTTTTTGGGTTTTTTTTAACCCTCAAAACCCCTCATGTAGCAGTGCCGTGTCCCCCTGGCTGCTCAAACCCGGGATTCTCCCCCGTTCCAGCCCCTGCCCAGGGAGGGCGTTCTCACCTCGGGAGGGCTGGGGATGCTCAGCCGAGCACAAATCCCTTTTCCCATCCCTTTTTCCACCCTCAGCACAGATTCAGACACCACCAAGAGCATTCTGAAACGCCACGAGGATCCCGAATCCAGCGGCTCCATCCCCACAGCTGCCGCACATTTCCACCGGCAAATAAATTTCCTTTTTTAAATTTTTTTTTTTTTTTTTTAATTTCCTCACCAGCCTAAGGAGCCGCTGAAAGGAGGAGCTGCGGAAAGCTGGGAACATTTCGCAGCAGCAGCGGTGATCACAAAGCCAGGGAGGCAGAGCCAGCCGGGAATTGTTGATTCCACACCCCCGAGGCTGTGCAGCAGCTCGGGCTGGCTGCTCTGCGGAGCTGCACGCAGGACTCCCAGCCACCTCCTGGATGTTTCCTTCCCACCATCACTCCCTGATATCCCTACCGGCCATTCCCATACAGAGCTGCTCCTTTCCAACCAGTTTCCCGTTATCCCTGGGATCTCCAGCAGGCACGGGGAGTCCCCACAGCTCGGTCTCCACAAACTCCGCACTCATAATTGTCCAACAATCCCACACAATTCGGTTTTCCACACCTTTTGCTGCTCGATGGGGGCAGCAGGAGTTTTGCCAGAGTCGTTATTAGAGGAATTCTGTTTTCCAGCTGGAAAATTCTGCATCGATGCACCACAAAAGAGCTGCCTGTGGCAGAGGTGGTTCACACCAAGGAATTACTCGGGAATTGGCTGCTCAGTGCCTCTTTCCCAGCTGGTTTTCTGCAGCCAGGGCACGGAGGTGCTGTGCAGCACCCTCGAGGTGGAAGGGAAGTGCTTGGAGATGGGATTTGTGATTGCACAAGTTCTCCCAGGACGGGATGCCAAATCTGACCTGGTGGGGAGGAACAGCCGGGAACAACCCAGATTGGTGTGAGGGGGTGGGCAGAGGCACAGGACGGGTCCTGCAGGAGTCAGGACAGCTTAAACCTGGCCACAGCTCACCCAGCACATCTCAGTGGGTCCCCCAGAGTCAGGGACATCAGGCCCAAACAGCCCCGTTCACCCCCAAAACTCACCCCAAGAATTAAAATTGGTGGTGGGGACCTCGACCCCCACTCAGGACCCTCTCAGTGGGAGGAGGGCAGCTCCTTTGCTGCCAGCCTGGTGGGCACAGTCCCCACGAGCTGATTTTTCTCTCCGTGATGATCTCCCTTCCCTGGAGTTCAGCTCAGACCGGGGCACCTCTCCCCACTCCCTGTCCCCACAGCCACTGTGAAAATCCCTTTATTCACCCTCCAGCAGCTGCTTTTCCCCTCCAGTGCGGCCCCACCCTCAGCAGGGCGTGCCAAGGCCATGTCCCCAACAGCCCAAACCCCCAGAGCAGGACCCTCTGCAGCCAGGACCCGCTTTTCCCTGGAAAAGCTCAGCCAGTAAGCCAAGAATTCCAAAATCTCCGGCTGCGGGGCAGATCCCGTGGGGCCACCGGGCAGAGAGGTGATGCGATAATCAGCAGCCAGGCGTCTGCCCAGCCCCAAAGCTCTGCTTATCTGGCATTTTCCTGCCCCAGCAGCGCCCCTGGCAGCGTCCCAAGGAGCGAGGAAAGGAAAAGCAGCTGGGGCAGATTTCTGAACCCTCCAGGGCTGAATCTATCTCGCGCTCTGCTGGAGCTGCTGGGATTTCCCCAAATCTCAGCCATTTCCAATTCACCTAAGGAGCTTGGTGGGAGCCGCCTCTGCCCCCCGTGACTTTTTATTTTTATTATTTTTATTTTTATTTTCTGCTGGATCAACTCAACTTCCCTGCCAGGAACCAGAAACTCTCAAATCGTTTCTTTAACGGGGCTCTCGGCCGGGGAACAACCAGAGGGCGAATTTTAGGTGCAGCCGTAAGGAAAAGCTCCGAAAATCTCTGGAGAAGCCGGGGAAGAGCCGAAGATCTCCGGGAGAGCCCGGCAGGGAGGGTGGCACGGGGTGTGCGGTGCCAACCCCGCACCGGGCACCCCTCGAGCAGCTCAGAGCACCGGGACCGGGCGATGCTTCATCATCCCCCGAGCCCCTCAGGGAACCCCCAGAACCCCCCAAAATTCCGCCGGTGCTCCGCGCTGTCCCGCGCCCAGGTTGGTGCCTCTAGAGGGAGCTGAGTCCTGCACGGCTCCGCGCTCGCGTCTATCTATGGTCAGCGGGGTTGGGTTTCTAGTTGACTTTTTTTTTTTTTTTTTTTTTTTTTTTTCCTTCTTCTTCTTTTCCCTCCTCCTCCGCCGCCTCGCGCGCTTCCTTTGCCCGCGCAGCGCTCCGGGCAGGAGGCAGGAAAAGGGAGCGGCCAGAGGGATGGAGCGGATCCCGGCAGGGATGCGGTAACTGCCGGGATACCCCGACCTGCTGTTCCTCTCCCGGACGCGGTGAGTGGCGAGGACAGCCCTGTTTCCCCCTCCCCAAACTCTCCTGGGATGGGTTATCCGTGTTCTCCGGGCCTGGCCGGGGCAGGGACGGGCAGGGATGCACCGGCAGCCGCGGGGTGCGGGGGTTCCGGGGGTGCGGGGAGGGTGACAGCGACAAAGTTCTTCAAAGTGCGAGAAACCCCCGCGCCAAGCCTGGAGGTCCCGCTCCGGGCGGGTTGCTGCTCCAAAAAGAGAATTTACCTCCCCCAAGAAGGGAATTTCCCCTCGTTTAACCGAGTTTTCTCCAGTTTTTTACGCGGTGACAGCTGCCCGCGCCATCACCCGCGCAGGGCCCGAAGGGCTCGGGGAGGGGACATCGCGCAGAGCTGTCCCCGCTGAGGAGCGGGTGACACCTGGCCCGCCACGCCCGGGCTGTGACCTGGGCACGGGCATGGCTCGTGTGGCTCTGCTGTCCCCGCGGGCACGGCTTTGGGAGGGGACCTTGGCTGGAGGGATGCTGGGGGTCGTTTGCCCACCCTGGGGCCGTGCTGGGTGGGCAAAGCCCGAAACGGGCAAACCCCAAAGTGGGCAAATCCCAAAGTGGGCAAACTGATCCTGTGGGATCTCTGTCCTGAGCGGGATCGGGCAGGGATGGGATCAGGAATCCTGTGGGATCCCGGATGGGATCAGGAATCCTGTGGGATCTCTGTCCCGGCAGGGATGGGATCAGGAATCCTGTGGGATCTCTGTCCCAGGAGGGATGGGATCAGGAATCCTGTGGGATCTCTGTCCCGGCAGGGATGGGGTCAGGAATCCTGTGGGATCTCTGTCCCGGCAGGGATGGGATCAGGAATCCTGTGGGATCTCTGTCCCAGGAGGGATCCCTGCTCTGCCCGGCCTCGTGGAGTCACTGCCACGCACCAGAGCTACCAAAGCGTCCCAGGGGATGCTCCATCCATTTCCTGGCATTCATAACATGTCAGGAGATGATTCCAGAACCCCGTGGCTGGGCTTGGATATAGGGATATATTGGATATAGGGACTGCAGCTGCTCCTGTGGATCCTCATGGATCTGCTTCCCTCCCCCACCATCTTCCCTGAACCCAGGGCTCAGGAACTTTGCTTTGGAGAAAAGCTGGGAGGAGTGATGAGTGTGACTTAAGACACCCAGGAAGTGTTTGAGACTTGTGAGAGGAGGAGACGAGAGGGAAATGAGGAGCAGTTGAGGCAAAGGTCTTTGTTTGTTTGACGAGGGGTGGGGGTTGCAGGAAGGTTCATTCGTGGCATGGCAGGTGCTCCTGATAAAGGTAAGAGCCCTGTGCCACCTTGGAGCTGCAGCTAAATCCCATCCAAAGTTCTGGCTGCTGCTTTTAACCCTTTGAAGCCTCCTGCAAGATCCTCGTAGGGTGGATCAGACCCTGCAGCTTCCCTGACACTCTTTCTTGAGCCCTGACTCAAATCCTGGAGGGTTTTCATTTCCTGCAGCCCTGGGCTGTCTCTGGGTGTCATCTCCTCCTTCACACCCTCCCCTGTTCTCCAGCGTGGTGTTCCCATAACAAAGGGGGAAGGGGGAAGCTGGGAAGCAGGAGGAGAACGGGCAGCAGCTCTGGAACCTGGACAGGACGGTCTGAGCACTGTGACCCCTGCAGAGATGGGCAGTGAACTCTTCTGGGAGCCCACATGGGCATTTGGGGCCGGCAGTGGCTGGGGACAGCAGTGACAGGGCTGCAAGTGTCTTGTGTCACAGGGGCATATCCTGTGTCTTCCAGGGCCCAGAAGGAAATCGAAAACAAAACTTCCTGCAGTGTTTGAAATGAAATGAAAGTTAAAAGTCATGAGTCATCCGCCTCTGGGTTCCCGTACTGCCCAGCCCACGCTCCAGGGCTCACTCCTCACAGCCCTCACCCCTTCTGGGCAGGAAAAGTCCCTGTCACCCACGGGCAGCCCTGGGTCACTGTGGGACACAGCCCTGCTGCCCCACAGGCCGAGCTGGAAAAGTTCCAGAGGCTCCTTGAGCTCTTGGCTGGGCGCACCCACACCCTCCCAGCAGCCTGTGGCACTGTGGGGCACAGAGACAATTCCCACTGGTGCCAGTTCCCACAGCTCCAAGGGGCTGCTCCCAGCCTGGGAACAGCTCGGGGTCCTCCCAGTGCAGGTGGGCTCAGCCATGGCCTGGGGTGGCAGAGGATGAAGCACAGGAGGCTCCTCAGTGGAGGAGGAGATGGACACCACCCCAGGGGATGGAAACCATCCAAGGGATCTGCACATCCCAGGGGATGGAAAACATCCCAAGGGATCTGCACATCCCATGGGATCTGCATATCTCAGGGGATCTGCACCACCCCAGGGGATGAAATCCAAAGGATCTGCACCATTCTAGGGGATCTTCACCATCCCAGGGGATGGACACCACCCCAGGGCAGGGAATTCTGTGATTCTGAGAGCCAGGAGAGGCAGCTCTGGAGCTGGTCTGGGTGAGTGGCCAGCAGCTCTCCCCAGGGATTTCCCCTGGCCCCAGCTGATGATCCTCACTGTGTTCTCAGCTCTTCCTTGCATGGGGATGTTTGAGTTTGGGGAGGAAGGAGGAAATCCTGTCCTCCCATCCTCAGAGTGTAGGAAAAAGCAGCATTTCCATCCTGCTCACCAGGCTCAGGCCCCAGTGCAGCTGTGCCAGGACCTCGTGGTTTTCTAAGCCAGGCAGAGCCACTTTGCACTTCCAGCCCCATCCCAAGGAAAACGGGCTGTACTTCCTGTGTCACATTTATTTTTCCTTCTGAACAATTTCCTGTGTGATGCCATGAGCTTGAACCACGTTGTGCACTTCTCTCATAGCCGTGGATGGTTATTTATCCCTACACAGAGCTTCCTTTATTTTTGTCCAGGATGCAATTTAAATTTCGGGGATTTAGGAATTGTGTCTCATCTGTGAGTTCAGGCTTTGAGCAAATCAGGAAAGCCCCCAGCTCAGGCCTGTGGAACTGTGGGCTGGGAATATGCTCTGGAATGTCAGGCAGCAGAGAGGAGCTACCCTGGTGCCGCTAATCCTGACAGGAACTTCAGCCTCACCCCCAAACCCCTGGGGGTGAAGGAGCTCTGATGAGCCCTGAACTGCAGGTTTGGGATACCTGTGAACTTCAGGGGAAAGATGAGCTTTGTGTTTAGTGCTCATTTAATCTTCTGATTTTTTGAGAGGGGAAATGTAAATAATTACATTACATTACATTACATTACAAAGGGGAATTAGAGGAAATTGGAGTCCTGGAGGAAACCAGGGCTCATCTCATGAAGATGTTGTCATGGCAGCTCGGTGTGGTCACAGCCAGGGAGTTGCAGAGATGCTGGAATTTTTGTTCCAGCCTTTTATGAAGCTCTGTGGTCTTGGCTGAGGAAGGGGTGGTGCAGCCCACACCTCTCTGAGAACAGGATGAGCAGAAACAGGAAGGAAGTCGATCAGTATGTGTGTGTGAGAGGTGAGGTGTGGGGTCCCTTTTTGTGACAAATGGTACCAGCAATGAGATCCTCCAAGAGGGGGAATCCAGGGAGGTGGAAGTGGACCCGGTGCACGCAGGACTCTGCATTTTGTGGGTACAGAATGAGCGTGCCAGGAAGGGAGGAGCCTGGCGTGGCAGAGATAAATCAGCTTTTTTGAGCAGTGGGCTCTGCCAAAGGGGATTCCTGGGGCTGTGAGGGACCACGGGGCTCCGGTCACTCACCATCTCCATCACTCTTCCAGGTGACAAACCTCTCTGCAATGGCCTCAGGGGATGAAGGGGACCCTCCACGGCTGGAGGGACGCCGGGGGAGCCACGGGCGCAGGCTCAGCTCAGGTAAAAGGTTCTGGGGTGCTCAGGGGAGGGAGCAGCTTCAAACCTTGACTTTTTTATTCATTGCCCTGCTGTGTTCCTTTGGCAAGATGGGATTTCCTGTCTCCAGGGCTTTTTGCAAGGCTGGGATAAAGTGAAACTGAATTGAACTGGGAGGTGGGAGATGCCAGGGACTTGGAGCATCCTGGTCTAGTGGGAGGTGGAATGGGGTGAGATTTAAGATTTAAGGGTCTTTTCCATCCAAAATAATCAAGGATTGTGTGCTTGGCATTGGATGGTCAGGGTGGGCAGCAAGGTGGGGCTGGAAGGCACAAGCAGAACAAAGTGCTGGGAGCCTGTGTCGTGTATTTCCTTCCTGAGCACGACAGAGCAGGAGGTGTTTGGGGTTTAAATCACAGAGGAAAGCAGATCTCGGGCAGTCTGGGTGGCCTTGGGGTGACACCAGGTCCCGTGTGCCCTGGCAGGGCAGTGTGACGAGCTGGGTCACTGTCCCCGTGTGAGCCCAGCCCAGCCCTGCCCCGGTTAATGGGTGAAACTGGGAACGGGGCCACAGGAAGCTGGAAAAACCCTGAGCTCCAGCTCATCCCAGCAGGATGAAATGTGACTCCTGGTGCTGCTGGGCAGGTGAGGAGGCTAAATCAGCTGAGTCAGCTCTGTCAACATCGGGATTGGGCCAGGGGAGCTCAGCCCAGCTCAGGGCTCTGCCCTGACAATGGGATTTCTGCTCTGCTCTTGCCTGGGCTCCTCTCCCTCTCTCAGTGCCAGGCTCTGTGGTGGCACTGGAAGGAAAATACCCATCCTTGCCATGCCAGAGTGCAGGAGGTACAAAAATCCACAAACAGGAGCAGCTGTTTGCTGATTTCCTGTCGAGGTCAGTGAGATGCTGATGTAAAAACCATTAAGAAGTCAGACTCTGAGCTCACAGTCCCAGTTCCTGTTTTCTTAGACACTTAGTGGCAGTCCCAGCATCCCTCTGTCAGGAGGAGCCAGGAGGAATTCCACCTCTAGAATTTGGCAGCAGCCTCGTGGGCCCCAGTGGGAGCAGGGATGTGCAGCTTTCACTGTGGGATTGAGGGGTGGAAAGAGGCTTTGTGGCAGGGATTGAGCCTGGATTTCATCTGGGGCTCTGCTTGTTTGCCTCTGGATGCAGCAGAGATTTCTCTCCCCCTCAGGGATTTGCTCAGGCATGGCCAAGGTGCTGCTGTTTGTGCCAAGGCCGGGGGGCACCTTCCTCCCCTGGTGTTTTTAGGATGAAGGCAGTGTGTGATGGAGCAGGAACATGAGCTCTGCTCACGAACACCAGAATCACAGCAGCTTTCCTGAGCCCAGTTCAGGACCTGGAGCAGAAAATCTCCCTCTCTGAGGGATGAGTTCCTGTCTCACAGCTCAGCTCTGCAGGGAGGCACTTTGGGGATGCTGCTCCTGCTCAGGCTGGGAAGGTGCTGGTCCTAAAGAGCAGAGGGAGGGGAGGTTTTGTGGATTTTGTGCTGTGCAGATTCCTCAGGTGTGGCCGGTGTCCTTCCCCCTGTCTGGAATCTCTGCTCCCCAGCAGGATTACAACAGCACAGTGCAGTGCTCACCCTGCTCACCCTTGGATCCTTCATGGAATCACTGTTAAAGGATAAAAGGAACCACCAGGGGCTGCCCAGCTCGCTGGGATCAACCCCAAACCCAGCTGCTCATCCCACACTGAAATTGCAGCTGCAGTGAGTGAGCTGGGCTTCCCTGGGGCAGGAATCTCCTCTTGCTTCCTGGGCCTGTTTTTTGTTTCCAGGCTGGAATCTCCCTCTGCAGGGAGTTGATCCCTGTCTCCTGGGCTCCAAGGGATGGGGTTTCACTGGTTTCACCCGTCCCTGTCACTGCCTGGAGTGGGTGTTTGGGGCTGATGGAGAATTTTGGCCATAGCTGCCAGTTTTTCCCACAGCACAGCTGCTCCTGGGAGATGGGAGCAGTGAGAAATGCAGGATTTCACACGGAAATGCAAGTGTTGGATGTTTGGGGCTCTCTGGGTCCGGGCAGTGCTGCCTGTGCTGTGGGCCCAGTGCTGAGGGAGCTGGGGATGGAGGCAGCAGATACAGAGCAAACGTGGAGCAAACAGGGAGCAAACGTGGAGCAAACAGGGAGCAAACAGGGAGCAGTTCCTCCCTTCCACAGATCCTGAGCTGCTCCAAACCTCCCCTGGGCGCTCCTGGCACTGGGAATCCACCAGGCAAACCCTGATCCAGATCCCTTGAGTGGGAGAAATCCCAGGACAATCCCAGTGGGTGCTGGGGGTAGCACCTGTGGGAAGGGAGGGGTGTCCTCCTGTCTTGGTGTTACTAAAAATAGCTCCCGGGATAAGCAAACCCAAGAATTATTTTTGTGCAGAGATTTCCTCTTCTGTCTGGCCGAGTGTTTGCCCTCCTCTTCCTGAAACTCTGACTCAGTTGGTTTCGTTTTCTGGCTCTCCTTGGAGCGTCACTCCCGGTTCCCAAAAAGGGAAGGATTTGTTTGCCACCAAACAAACTCGTATCTGAAAACAAAAAACAACTCCTGGAAACAGTGACAGGAGCTGTCCTTTCCCTTCAGCCCTGCTGGTGTCACCTGAGCATGGGACAGGGAGGTGGGACCAGCTGGAGAACCCTGTGAGGAGGATTTGATGGGATTTGGGGATTTTGGGGATGGGGTTTGTGAGGCAGCAATGCCAGCACAGCTGTGCCTTCATTTCCCAGCCCTGGGCAGGAAGATCTCCGGTTGGAAATGCAAATTCTGGATTTATGGGATGGTGGGACAGGGTTTGGCTGCCATGGAGCTGCTGCTGGAGGTGCTGTCCCCTAAGGATGGGGAGATCCCCCAAACCCACAATCCTGCAGGATCCCCCACTCCTGCCCCTGCCCTGGCACCTCCTGTACCTGGGCAGTGTCTGGGTGCACCTGGAGGTGTCTGGGTGTACCTGGGCAGTGTCTGGATGTACCTGGAGGTGTCTGGGTGTACCTGG